ATGTTATTTTTCTAGAATCGCTCCGAACAAATTAATAAGGCATAGAAAACTTTCGATAGCGATTTTTCACGCAGATTAACTTTCTAAAGGTTTCGTTTTCCCGCTCTGGTGTTTACTTTCAGCATTGTAACAGTACTATTGTGATTCGATTTAAGGAAGCTCCATAGAGTTTTTGACCGCGCAAGATTCGGAAGTATACCCATGCTCAGATACCGATCGATCTTGGCTAAGTTCTATTCGATAACGAAATATTTTGGGATTAAAAAGAAAAGAAATCTTCCGAATAAGATTTATCGCGTTTCTTATGATTGAATTACCGAAAATTTGGCAGAACGTTTAACATATTTATGCCCTTTATGTTGCCAATTAATTAGAAAAATTTCATGAACAAGTTAGAATGGGAAAACGAAAAATGAAAAAAAGCGAAAAATCTGCCCGTTTAACCTCTCTTATTTCAATTTCACAATTATTAACGGGAAAAAGTGTCACTTACTGTGAAAATTGTGGAAAATGTCACCGAAGTAATTGGAGCCGAGCGCCTTCATTTATTTTGTTTTACCTCAAGAACGAAAACCTGTTTATGTTCATGTTGATGTTGATATCAACTACAGAAAATAACAGTCTGAATCTTGTTTATTACATTTTGGTCAATTTTAGTGATCTTGTAGGCAGAAAGCACATAATAATTATCTATGAAAAGAACGCCAGTGCATATGTCATAATCAAACCAACAACGCTATGGAGCCACTTAAAATTGATGACGGATTTCCATGTAGCGTGTAGGGAAGAAACAAAGTCAATAATACAACATATCAATCTGCATGACGATGGCGTGAGTCACGTTTACTCGCGAATTTGAAATTTATCCGAATTAAAATCTCACCATTCAAAACTAAATCCAAATGAATTGAAATGCAGTTTAATTGTTGCTTCCCTGAGTAAAACTACCATGGTTCCATGGTTGTACAAAGAAATTACCTGGTACCATTCAGATGATTGAAACTCATCTTAAACTGTAAAACCAGTAACTCACTAGTCATTTCCCTTCTTTCCACAAACACCTGCTTATATCTCCAAGGAAGAACTGTGAACTCTTTCCAGTATCTTGGCCAAAGACATACCAAGCTGTTGTGTAATGTTCAGCCATGCCACAGCCTTCTTTTTATTGATTCCGCAACGAGGAACAAAACGTAATCTTAGTTAAGCGGGCGGTCGAGGTAAAAATTAATTTGTAGGCCAAAAATGGCAACAAAATTGTGTTGTAACAATATTGTATTGTGTTAGTGATACGAATGGTCCTAGCCATTGGCACCCTTTAATGTGAAATTAAAAAAAGACAGATGTTCGAAAATGCTAATTAAACTTGTCTGCTTGCTTGTGATATAAGCAAAGTATATGTGCAATTATTGACGGTAGCCTTTATGTATAATTTGGAACATGGTTCTTCCTAATGACCAGTCCATGCACTGCAGATTTCAGTCATTTCTCGCTCACAATTGTCAGCTGTGGGACGTTTTTCTGGGTCTCTATCCCAGCATCTCTCCATAAGTTCTTTCCAGCGGCGTGGAGGCTTTTTCAATTCCATGATATCTTTCGGACGACGCCCATGATCCACCAAGCTAAAGAAATGTTGATTGTTTAACGCTTCAACTTCAGCAAATGCTCGTCGTCCAAACCACATCTCCCAAAGCATTATTCCAAAACTGTAGATGTCTGCTTTGAAATCATATAGTTTAGAATGGAAAACCTCAGGTGCCATGTACGAAAAAGATCCCTTAACAGTACCGCTGACTTTACTTGCTTCCTTAGAAACGCCGACATCACCTATTCTCACGGAATCCTCTTCCGACAGCTTAAATAAAAACAAAGACAAATAGAGAGTAATACACGGGCGCGCGTAGAAATAGAATTTCTCTTCGAGTGTTTAACTCGATAGCTCACGAGTGAGTGCAG